ATAAAAAAGGAGAAAATCCATCCACCCCTCTCCCCCAGGTTGCCACAATTACATTCTAAAAAAATATGCTGGACTGTTTCTAATGTCCCACAACCAATATGTTTATTCATTATTTTAAGATTACTATTTAATCCTGTGTGTCCAAATCTTATCCTAGATATAATATCTTCTTCTTTTTTAATTCTATTACATTTTGTTAATTCTCCAACTTTTTTTTTATACTATAATAAAACCTAGCATTCTTTCCTTTATCCCACTGTCCCTGCCATTTCTTCTTGAAATACAATTTAATAATATTCTTTACCTAATTTTTACTTATTTTAATATTTAAATCAACAAAACCCTTTTTTACAGCACTCTTTGCAAAACTATCAGCCAGCTCATCTCTTATAACACTAATGAGCAGGAATCCAAACTAATTTAACATTAGAACCTTGTATGTCACCCATAATGTTGTGTGCATTGCAATATTTTGAGCAAAACCGTGCTCTTACCCTGCTAATTGGACCTTCACAGTCTGCTCTCATTGGTTCAATGTGCAATTAATGAAGATTGACCACCAGGCTGGTCCGATTTAGCCATGAATCCTCCCACACTAAAATGAAAGGTGTTTCAGTTTCATTGTCCAATCCCTGTATGTCAAAGTATTGGAATAAGTTCCCCATAAATGTATACCAGCACTGCCTTTAGCAGCCTCTTAATTCCAAACACAACATAACTGAAATTGCATGGGTAATTCTCTGTGAGCTTCATCAGGACTGCAAAGAACTGGACCAAAGCCTGAACAGGGACTTGAACCCTGGACCCTCAGATTAAAAGTCTGATGCTCTACCATCTGAGCTACACAGGGCTGCTGAGATGATCAATCCTGTGGGGATGTAAGTTGGATAGAACTAAAAACCTCCTAATGAGAGTGTCAGAGTAAAATGTGATTATTTCACCAGTTACTAGCATCCTCTCTCTGATTTGACTGTTTTCTCTGTGCAGAATGTCCTAGTCATGGCCAGTCTCTCTGCATGTGTGTTTCAGGCCAGCAGTGTAGGTGTACTTCACTGACAGCTGGATAAATGAGACATAACATTGACCAGGTCCAAATCCAGTCATGAACCAGTTGGTGTGACTTTCTGTTACCTGTGTGAAACACTCAGCTGTTAGGAAAGTTGTTGGGGACTCGGACTGGGAACCCTCTTGCTGTGAGGTGACAATTCTGACCACCACACCGTCGTGCCACCATTTTGTAATCTTTCTAATAAAAACTTAAAAGAAAGTATCCTTGAAGTTTTGGGACACAAATAATTGTTTAAAGGGCAACAGACTGTTCTATAGCTAAAGAGTTAACTGTGGAAAGAACAAGAAGTCATATGAAGGCCTCAGGTAATGGTGGGATTTGAACCCAGGATCTCCTGTTTACAAGAAAGATGCTTTGACCAGCTATGCTACAGCACCTTCCTTTTAATATTTTAGATTTGCATTTGGGCCTGTTTCTGAAACAAACGCTGATTTGAGGTTACAAGAATTGATGGATGGAAGAAACAAATAAAAATAGCAAGTATACACAAGTTATTTCTGCTCCCCATAAGGGAGCCACCTTCCAACTGGAGCTTTGTCATGCTGTTGTCTCTGGGCTTTTCATTATATGGATTTGTGGGGAAAAGTAGACCTTACACAATGTAAAGAAATGCTGTGGTCTTAGTCAGTCGCGTGTTGAGGTCAGAAATAGCAGTCAATCTTTCCTATGTCTCTGGAAAATGAGTAGGATTGAGCATTTTCTGTCTGTCTGTGACAGAACTTTAAAAAAAACAAAACAGGTAGCAATCGCAAGTTGATGTATAAGGTGAGATGCAATGGCCGGGAATCAAACCCTGGTGAGCTGCTTGGGGAGCAGCTATTTTCTCCTACATACCACCAATTCCAGATCCACTGTGCACGCTCAGATTAGAATCCAACCAACAATTTTATTTTGGATAAATGAAGTACCAAGTAAAGTTGAATTTTCAATGATCTGCTGCCTCCTTTCTGTTTAATTGCTTTATTTTACCCAGATGTATATAAATGGCTGTATGAAAATAGCAGCTTGTGGTTTAAGTGAGAGCTCCAGATGTGCTCCATTAAGTTTAGAGGTAAAAAATAACCTTTTTAAGAGAAAGGGGAGCCTAAAGATTTAAATCCTGGAAATCATCAGTAGATGTTTAATTAAATGAAAAGGGTTGTCTTTGAGGAGATGGATAATATTCACATTATTTACACAGGGTCCTTGAGCATTCCAATAAAGGCAGAATTTGAGTTATTAAACTTAATAGTTTTTCATCTTCTTTTTGTTTTCAAAACACATTTGTCAATGTGTTTTGCCCGGCCAGCACAGTCAGAGGAGCATGAGACTCTTAATCTCAGGGTTGTGAGGTTGAGTGGGGATCCTTCAATCAGAGCATCCTTCATCCACAGCTCAGTGAAAGCCTCACATGGTCCTCCATGTTTCTCTGTCACCAGACCTTGACCTCTGTCCTCCCATTCTTAGGCCTGATTTTATGAAAGCATTGTTCAATGGAAATGTGGCACCTTGACATCAAAACTCAAACCAAAATCCCCCTGCTCTCATCCCTCACTGTTGGTCGAAATTTCTTGGTATCCTATTAAACTTTGTTTGGGGCCAAGTGGAAATTACAAGTAATGTTGACTATTCTTTTTTAAACAGACCTCAGTAACTTTCTCAACTTCATCAGATGGATACTCGGTTTAACTCTCTTCCATTAATTGAACATTAGAAAGACATTTTTGTCATATTTATCTAGTGTTTGTCCTATTAACATTGTATTTGTCATAAGGGCTCGTCCAGGATTTGAACCCGGGACCTCTCGCACCCTAAGCGAGAATCATACTCCTAGACCAACGAGCCACTCTCTTCACTCCACTGAAATCACCACAGAAGGGAGTCTGCAGAAGCCTGACAGGGAGAGATGATGCCAGCTGCTCAACACAAGCAGAAGAAGAGCCTCATCACCATGTCAGTGACTGTTTATCATCAGCAACAGCACTTTATGGTGGACACAGAGGACACATGTTCTTGTATAGGTAAAGAAGAATCCACTCCAAGCCTCACAGACCAAAATCATTCACTGATAGTTCAGTAATCTGTGTGGACTGATACTTTCACTGACTCCCTGTGAGACTGAGCCTGTCCACTCCTGAGTCAGACTCAGATAAGTTAGTCCCTCCTATGAGGGTTATTTTTTTTATTTATTTATTTATTTTTTTATTTGAATAGGGACAAAGCACATTAATGGACATCAGTGAAAACAAATGTAAATATGCCGGATTGTAGCTACAAAGCTAATTTACATCCGTAGTCCCTAGGCAGGCAAAGGCATAAAAAAATAACATATAATAAACAATACAAGCATCACAATTAAAAGTTTAGATTTTAATGCTCACATGACTGGCTTGCTTTCATCCAAAGTTTAAGTTGATCTCTAAAGCTGGTCAGTGTGGGGCTCTCCCGTATGTGCAGAGGAAGACTGTTCCAGATGTTAGCGGCTCTCACTGAGAGAGTGTTCTGACCAAAAGCTGTTCTTCTGTGAGGAACCTCACAGTCTCCTCTGGAGGAGGCCCTGGTTCTCGGCCCACTGGAAGTCTTAAGTTTAAACAGGGTAGACACAGGAGGTGGGGCTAGTCCATGTAGCGCTTTATAAGTTAAGCATACATACTTAAAATTTATGAAATTTTCAAAATGAAAAAGATTGTATTTGTTCAAAATATTACATACATGGAAATAATTGGGTTTTTGGTCAAACACTTTAAGAGATCTTTTGTAGAGTGATTCAATTAATTTTAAATTGGTAACTGTGGTGAGAGACCAACTTGTGATGCAGTATTCAATGTGAGATAAAATCATTGAGTGGAGAACCATTTTAGCAGCACCAAGTGTTAAAAAAGACCTGATTTGTTTAACATTTTTAAGGTTAAATTTGACAGTATTGGCAAGATTTTTTATATGATTTTTGAAGGACAGAGTGGAATCGAGTATCACGCCAAGGTACTTGAATTCTGTGACAAGTTGTAATTCTTCTCCTCTCAAGAATACGCAGGAGCTTTTTATTTCTTTTGATTGCTTTGAGAAAAACAAACAGACCGTTTTTTTGGAATTGAGAAGCAAACATGATTTAAAAAGCCAGTCATTTACTTGCTCCATGGCTGAGGTCAGAAAAGAAGCTGCCTCTTTAACACTCTTTGCATGAGTATAAATTATAGCGTCATCTGCATACATTTGAAAATTCACATTATTACATGTTTTGGGAAGATCATTTATGTACAGGGAGAATAACAAGGGACCAAGTATTGATCCTTGCGGCACACCGACAGAGACATCCAAGACTGATGATTTTATACTATCAATTTTTACACATTGTTTTCTTGAGGTTAAGTATGATTTAAGCCACTGAATTGCCTCTGGCGAGAAATTGAAGTCTGGTTTACACTTTTTCTTTAAAGCTTTGCCCATGAAGCAGAAAATGGAAACGTCCTGGGCTCCCGGTCCACCATCACTGCTCTGTTCATGTGGATTTGGGCCTTTAGCCCCACCTGCTGACTGCTTTCCCAGTGGACAGATGCTGCACAAAAACCTTAGAACTAATTTAAAAAAAATCCAAAAACATTGAAGATGTATTTGTCTCTATAAAACATTTATTCTGAGGCAGCTGGGAGTTGTGTAACTTCATTTAGAGATAATAATCAGAAGAACTCCTTAAACAAAGGGGAACTAATAACACCAGGTTTGTGTTTTACAGCCTGAAATCTGCCTTCAGGAACAGGAAGGAGGGATTTTACTGAATGTGGCACGTTTTAAACTTTCTTTTCTCCTTATTTTGTGTGGATTGCAGTTCAGAGGCTGGATCTGACAGTGATGTGTCTGTTGAGGCGTGTTTTAAACATGAGCTCCTGGTTAGACTGGTCCTACCTGTTCTGGCTCCATCACAGGTGAATTCACTGGTTATAGGAAACATTTGAAGTCGGGTCACAAGAGGAGACACGTCAGCTCTGTGAGAAGAAACTGTAAGTTTGAACTTTTCCGTCTTTTTCTTTAGTTATTTTGATGAACATGTTCACTCCTGGTTTATATATAGATTTCTAGATTATAGACTCTGTTTCCTGGGTTTTCTTTTATTAATTTTTTGGTGTTATTTAGACTTTTTAGTGTTTTGTTCTAAGGGCTCAAACGCCGTGCTTAAACGTCTGACTTTATTTTCTGCTAAAAGCCTTCTAAAAGCTAACACAAAATCCCTCTGAAACTTTTGGGAGTGGTGACCGTCTGCTGCTGAGATGTTTTTACTTTCAGTGTGATGTAACAGTCATGCCGTTTGCCTCCATCTGCTGGACTGACAGCAGAACAGCAGCTGATCAGAACTAGATAATCTGACAATCAGGGGAGGAGCAGCTGCTCTGCACAGCCAGATGGAGCAGGAGGCTTTAAGCTGCTGTTTCCTCTGCAGGTGGAGGCTCAAAGGGTCTGAGCTGCTGGGAACTCTGCAGGTGGAGGCTCAAAGTGTCTGAGCTGCTGGGAATGGATCAGCCTGAGGACTCTGAAAACATTCCCAGTGGGGAACCCGAGAGCCAGAGCAGAGCTCAGGGGTGAGAGGACCATCTTAGTCCAGGACTCTGCACCATTTCAGGGCCCACAGACTGAACCAGCTTTATTCACAGGAATCAGCCCGGAACTAAAACCAAACCAGGGCCAGGACCAGAGACTAAACCAGAACCAGGACCAGAGACTAAACCTGAACCAGGACCAGAGACTAAACCTGAACCAGGACCAGGCTGTGTGCCACAGAATAGTTTGTGCTATTGTAGAGGGTTCAGATATTTATTGCCTCTATTAAAGTTTTTATAAAA